GGGCTATCTGTGCTCTGCCACCACGGGTATCGAAACCCGGTTTCTAGCGTTGTAAGTCCGCAGACAAGCCGATGTGCCATTGGGGGGCTAATGGAGATAGAACCATCAATAGAACTGTTTGAAGGTGGTTGTTAATAAATAGTTGCATGGAGACTAGATTTCAGGTTTGCGAACTGTTTGGAATTCTGCGACTTTTTGCGATCAGAAATCCCCATGAGAAGTTTAGGTAAAAACGTGTGATTAAAAATGAATAAGACATAATGAAAGACTTGTAACGGATTTTATTCTGTTGTAGGAGTGTTATATTTTGTCTATTTTTTCACCGACATTGTATGTATAATCTATTTACTCACGGTATAACATCTTGGTTGTACAATCACCCATAATACTGTAAGTGTATAAAACTGTTTAAAAGTAATCATGATGAAGAGCATAAACATGTAGTGAACAACAAAATATTTTGATCTACATTTTCTACGGTGTTATGCTACATGACTTCTGTCGAGTGTAGGCGTTGACGCCATTTTCTTTTACCATACAAATCTACAGTTAGTATCGTTCTGGAATTAATTATTTTGCTGGTTTTGATGTACGTAACTTTTAAGCTGTACACCTAGCGTATTCCCACAGCCAAAAGTAAAGCAGCTTCAAGTCCAGCTGTTCGATAGAATATAGCCTAGTGCCTCACTCATAAAAAATGCAGGGTGTGGTGTCTTGATGTAAAAAAAATCATTAATTTGCAAATGCAAAAAGAAAAACGTTCTCCAGCATGCTTAGGTATGTGAATCCAACCTCTCAGTTACCATAGTGACAGAATCTCAAATCATGCCGTGTCAGCCAGTGCTTCGTTTAGGACTTACAAATCATATATCATTGAATTGTTTCATTAATTGTGTTGTTTTGTTTTGTCAGTGGATGATGGAATAGACGCTGCATAAGAACAGCAGCCTTTAACTTTATGTACCACAGAATGGTATGTGCGTTTTGAACGATCATCCTTTCGACACTAAACCGTTTTGAAGTTTGATTTAGAACAAAAC